CTTTTGAGGTGATTTTGTGGTGGTGTTGTCAGTGTTTTATGGTGGTTTTGCTTTGCGGTGGTATGGTGGCGATTTTGTACGGTCCGGTGATGGCGGTGGTCATGACGGTGATGTTGCTGTCGAGAGGTGGTGATGCTAGAGGCAATGGTGTAAGGTGGTTTAGGTTGGTGGTGCAGGTGGAGGTGCTGACGGTGGTGGCAGCGGAGGACTTGATTATTTGTTGGTGGGGTGATGGCTGTGGTGTGGACCGTGTAGTAGTTTTGGGAGAGGGGGTGGATTTTGGCAGGCGACAGTGGTGTGGTGGTGGTGCCGTGGAAGGTGTTGTGGGTGCGTTCGTGGTACTGTGACCAACAAATTTAAAAATCTGTGACCAATTCATAATCCGTGATGTGTAATTTTTTTATTTGTGACAAATGAAATAAACTGTAACATATAAAAATTTTGATTTGTGACCTTAAAATATATTATTTGTGAGCTATAAATTTTTTGATTTTTGGCCTCGAAATAATTTGTGACCGATTAATTTGATAATATGTGACTAGTAGTATATAAGCCGTGACATATAATTATGTATATGTGACCATTAATTGTATAATTGTGACCTGATTAATAAATATTTTTAATTAATTGTCTAATACCTGAATTTTGAATTTTCAAACTATAAACCTGATTTGTGAATTGGTATAAACTATACATCTGATTTATGATTTTATCCCTTCTGGCCCATTATAANTTTAACTAATAATATATATACTTGAATTTTGAATTCTCAAACTATAAACCTGATTTGTGAATTGGTATAAACTATACATCTGATTTATGATTTTATCCCTTCTGGCCCATTATAATGAGAATTTGGGGAAAATATAATTTTGAATGGTAATTTTTTGAATAATATGTTGTTGAGGGCTTGTTTGGGCCCTTTTTTGTGTCGAATGTATTTTAGAACGTAGATCGATTGAGATTGTGTAGTTAAAAATGAAGAAAAAGTTTTTAGATTGTGTGTAATATTATTTTATTGAAAAACGAGTCATTGAAAAGAATAGAGAGAAAAATATATTTTTTAAAAAATGAGAATCAAATAAGGTCTAAAAAAGAAAGAAAATATTTTGAGAATACGTCTATTATTATTTGGAGGAAAAATTTGTCATTGATACGAATGGAATTAAAAATAAATTATAATTTAAATCGATTAAAGTCATTAAACATACTTGTTATAATCTCCTCACGCCTGGCGCTTTCTTCACACGCGGTACACATCTCTCAGTTTAGGGTTTAAAAATTTGGTCCAAATGCCTCAGTTTAGGAGTTAGGTAAATCCGATATTCTGCAGAATGGAAGATAAAGAATACAGACAGAACCGTGAATCCAAGGAGAAAATTATTCAAATTTTTTCAGATTTCATGACAAGGTTGAATTCAAATTTTTTAAAATTATTGTACAATTAATTTATATTATTTGCTTTTTATTCGTTAGGTAACCTTTTATGTGTAGGATTCCAATTGTTCAGTTATGTATACTTGTTTTACCACTACACCTTTTGCTGGCACTGCGGTTACAGGATCACAATGTTTGAAGAACTAGTAGACGCTGGAAGCAAATTACTCGTCGGCTTTCAGCAAGCACTCGGTGAGTGCTTTTTGCGTGTTTTTTTCTGCTCATGCTTTGGTCTGCAAGAAATATAATTCATGTCTGGCTGAACTTAAAAAGTATGCTTATAAGTGATTTCGCTAAGCAAATAAGTTTCTGAATAATAACTTTTTATCTGTTAAAATTGAGAATAAGTAAGATACTTACTCGACAGCAATTCAAGTATTCATTTCAAAATAAAAACTTTTTTTTTCAAGTAAAAAGTAAGAAAAAACTAACATAACTAAAGTGTTTTCAGAAATAAGTTGACTTTTTTCTTATTTTTATATTCAGCCAAACATGCTCTAACCTTTAGACATGTTTGGTGACATGGAAATGGGGTCTCAAAATTGGAATTAGAAATTAGGATTCAGTTTTAAGTTGTTATCCACGAGGCTGATTTATAATTATTTGGGACGCCATTTGTGTAGCATTGGATGTGATGTCTTGTCTTCTGCGAGACCTTGACGATTTGCTTATCATATCATGCAGGGTTTTTAGGTAGGCCTCGAATTGATAAAACTTCTGAAATGGCAATGCGCATTATGAGAACTCATGAGACTAAAAGGCTTAAATCCTATGTTGAGGCTGGATGTGTGAAAACTGATGACAGTAATCAAAATTTAAACAAGTGTAAGTGTCTTTATACTTCAACAGTTCAATTCTTCACTCTCCGACTTTTTAGACAATGATATGTTATTTAGAAGAAGACCAGTAAATTCTGTGTATAAGACCATGATGGCCACTGGCTACGAAGTTTCCGGCCACCAGAAAAGGCACGACCCTTTAGAACTTCCATTGTGATCAGCAGCACTGAAATAAACTCCTTCCCTATCATCCCTGAGTTTATAAAAATTCCGACAATCTCAGGGTGTTATATGTTGTCATAGAGCAAGGCTTGGTTGTGAAAATACAATAACATCTTGCCCGTGTGTCTGTCAGGAAGTGACAGTTCTTGTTTCTTATTCTATTTCTGACACTACTGAGGGGAACACATTTTTTTTTTTCCCTCTGTGATAGATAGAGGGTATTGGAAAAAGTGATTAGTTCTATCCAATTTGAGTATTTTTTAAGGTTTCAGTTGCTTGATGCAGAGCAGCATCAC